ATTTTAAAAACGGTTGCGTAGCAAATTAAACAGAGACTCAGATTTTTGGGTGATAACTCACTCTTGTGAAAATTTATTGTCTAGTAAAACTGTTCATTTCCTCATTTGTCTCCATATAACAGAGAAGATTCGTATCCTCAGTGATGAAACGATAGGTTGTCGTGGATATTTTGACTTCATCACGATCTGAGTGGATCGCAGTCGCATTCTGCGCAGTGCGGTCTGTTTCTTTGTCGTTCTTATTGAACAGAATTTTTTCACCAGCCCATTAGCAGCTAATCAATAGCACGAAAGACAGAGATTTCAATAATAGGCATGGTTTCCGCAAAGACTGTCACATTCTATTCTAAAAGCAAGAACGCTACGTTTTGCATTCGGAGAACGTTGTTACAGCTCCACAGCGAATTTTGTGGTATTATATCGCAAAATTTTGATTATAAGCAATCTTTGTCGTCATGAAAAAATGAACTAATATAAAAGAATTATTGGACGTTTTTTAGTGAAAAAATACTAGTTCTTCATATAGTATTCACTTTTCGTGACAAAATTCTGTGGAATTCCTTCTATGGGATGTGTTCGCTCTTCCTTGGTTCTTTTCTATCCAACTTGACATTCACTGGAATGTTAGTAATCATGTTCTTGCAACGGAAAGAGATTATGTTTTGTTTAGGGAGTATTTAGTTCTCCCTTTAGTTTTTATAGTTTCAGCATATATCGCAAATTCTCGATCTTAGGCAGTTTTCATCGCTACGCTTTTCCCGAAAGAAGCCATTTCACCTGACTATTAGTGAAATTCGATAGCTTGAAAACTGAAAAGGTTACAAGTCGGCTTTATTTCTGAAAAGACGCTGATATACAGCATATACACATATATAGATACATATATATGCAATTAAATACATATTTATATATATATTTATATATATATATAAATTTATAGGGCTTTTACTAACAAAGTGGAAAATACGCTTCGCTTGCATAGCGCAACATTTCAGCTTCACAGTGGATTTTTTTGTACTATCAAAATTTTTCTTCTTTCAAAATTTTCAAAAATTTTCACTCTGGAGCAGCTTTTCTAAAAGAAGCGTAGGTCGGTATTTGAGGAACTTCCTTACACAAAATTTTAATAGCGAAACTTCTAAATGTGTCTAAAACATGCTATTCGACTGTACGAAACGTACATTCATGAGTGAAGACGCGTCTTCAGATTGTGGCGATGATTAATATTCACGGTTGAGTTTAAATGAGCTTATAAGAAGTCACTACCCCCAATGCACAAGATCAAAGCTCTTCTACATCACTATAAAGGTCGGAACTCCTAAAGCCTACTAGTTCTCGAAAGCTGCATTGAATTATATTAACTGACTTCTCGTTTCAATTCGCAGCATCATTATTGGCAATCGATTCATCATTTTCTAGTTGTTTTGGCTTGATTCAACCTGAAAGTCTCTTCTATCATAAGTGAAGTCTCTTCTATCATAGTCAAGCATTCAGATGCCAATACACTCCTGCTTGCCAACGATAAAAATCTGAAGTTTATCAGAAAACTATGACATTGTCATTTCCGCTTGCTGCGCCATGGGAGCGTCTGGCCGCCCGCAAAGCAGGAAATCAGAGCGGTCTTCAACGGGTTGAGGCATCAAAAGACCCTCACCGTCCGCAAAGGGTTAACTGATTGAATGGCTGACTGAGATGCTAATAATATGGCAACAACACAGCGGTCTTATACTCATCTGTATTGCTGAAGTTCTTCGCCATTTATGGCTCTTCCAATGTCGAAGATGCGTTCTTGCGGCGATTAATTATCCTAAGACAAAATACAAGACTGCCTTGATTCCAATATAGCTCTTTATTGAGTAACTCGCTCCTACCATTGATAACAGACTTGCTAATCTATTATTTCCACCTTGACTCACAAAATACAGGGCATTTGGAATCAAACGCTATATATATATATATATATATATATATATATATATATATATATATATCGAGCTCAATTGTTTCTGCTCTGATCCAGTGCCAAATATGAAGGCTAAATACTCCAAGCCTCCCTTGGCCCCTTGAGTCCGGAATGACTGAGATATCTGCCATCTTTCTCAACGTCTCGCGCCGCTCGCCGGTGCCTTCTGTGACGCATGGAGCATTGGAAATGGAGGATATTAGCACGTTATTCTAGGTTTCATGATGACATTATCACAATTGGGCAATGATATGTCACAAAAAAACCACCTTGATGGTGTTTAGTATAAAGAACGACCATTTGTCAAAGCCTTCTTCGTTTCAATAGTTGCTCCTAATTACCGATGAAGTGGGATCGTGTTGACACGTCAGTGTCATCAGTGACGAACAAGTCGTTTCATTTGCTGACGAGAAAATGTTCTTTATTGCTGATAAAAACCCAATTTCATTTAAAATATACAACAGTCACTGCAATGCACAGCATTCAATGAGCGCGTGGGCGATCGTACCCTATGCAAAATAAAAAATCAAAGTGCGAAATCAGCAATAATATGTCGGAAGCTTCGTCGTTGTTGTAAGAAGTCTTCTTTTGGCTCTTCGTACATGGCGATGAATCAGAGGCGAAGAAGTCCGTCTCAATGATTGCTGGAATACCTTGCAGTGCGCTTGTGAACCTTTGAGGGACGGCACCAGAAATCGTTGCGCTCAGGGTGAATCACAAAGCGATGCAAGATTTTCGTCGTTAGATGAGAATTTGCTCACCATTTAGACTAAATTTTTTTGAGCACCTTGTTTCATTCAATATATCATGACTTGCTCCAGACGCTCACACGCTTTTTGTGCTGTATATCTCTTATGTGTTAAGAAAAACGCTAATTCGCTAGGCAGTTATATTGTTCTTGATTCCCAGACAATTTTGATACTGATTCATTAGCAAAAGTAAATAATTCTTGTATTCTTAACAAGCTCCACGGGGTGAGACCTAAATAGAATTATAGACCTCTTTTTACTAATCTACAGGTATTCTTTTCTAATAAATCCCCTTATAGTTTACTGTAAACATTATCCGGTGTTGCAGCCTTACCTGCCCTACTGCGCATTGATTTTGCTTATTCTTCTTATTTATTAATTGTTCTCAAAGTGAACCTTGTACTTCTCTAAAGTTTCAGTCTCTCAAAATAACTTCAATGTGACCACGTGCAGGCGCTTGTGGTCGTTCACCAGGAAACCGCACACCTGGTCCGCGCAGCAGTTTCCCATGGCTGTTCTCATCCACTATCACCATATGAATACACAAACTTTGCTAATTTCCTAGAAGTATTCAAAGCTCACATGCACAAATAGAGTTAGATACTTTGTTCAGCGGAAGAACTATTTGCGAACAACCACACGTACGCAAAAACTGGTAAGTACGTCGCATATTTCCTATCTGTTCACTGCTTTCACTCGAAATTCGCTTTTTTGAAGTGCGCCTTCGAAAGGCGTCTACCGAGAAAATTGAGAGTCACTACAACCTATAGAGTTTCAGCAAAGGAAGTCGAAAGTCCAGTCAGTGTTGCACTGTTTCCCAATCTCATCATAGGAAAATCAAACATATAATCGGTGATCAGTTTTAGATGTCGTCACCCAGAATCTTACCATACTCTTTAACAACCGTCTTTAACATATTAAAGGAAACTTAAGTCTCAGGTGCAAGATATCGGTCAATGTTTACAAATAATGTGTACCCGATATCTAAGAGTTTGTTGCAGAACAAGTGTACCTATGGTCATCGCACAAATGATGAGTAAGAAAAGACGGTTTTTCATTCACAAGATTGACGACAAAAATGCGTGCAAAGAATTGGAAGTAAGCTCATTTCCAAAAATGTGGCTTTGCTGAATAAAAAACTCCGACTGTTAGTACTCACTAACGTTCTTCCCATTAGAGAAACTTATAGAAATATGCGCAACAACTTGCTCTTTTTGTGACGGTAGAATATTCCGATCACTCGAATTCTACTAAATTACTGCCATCGAAACACTCAGTGAAGTTCAAACAACGGGTCAGCTACCCCAACTGCAAGGAACCTTTTTTTCATTTGTACAACAAGTTATGATGCCATTCCAGAAACCGAGCTGTTGCCGAAATCAATATTTGCTGAGCTATCGAATTACTGTTAATAGTGCAATGGAGAAGCGCGAAGTACTACTTGCTGATTGTAAGTCCTGCGGATTGAACATAAAATGTGTAAATGGTTAACCAGTGCTAAAGTATGAGCAAAAATAATTTTGTTGTTGACTGATGTAACTGTTATAAGTTATTGACTGCTGAGTATTTTGAAGAAAAAAACTACCTCATCACTGAAAAGTTTCAATACTCGGGCGAGGAAAAACCACTCTGAAAAAGTACTATGCAAATTGTCAAGCGCGGACTCTATCAAGGTTCAAGGAGACAACAAATTAGAACCCTCTCCTATTTTGAAATTCTCTCACTGTAGAAGATGTATTTTCAAATTGTACTCTTACTGACATCGAAAGATATGTGAGAGCAGAGTTTCGAACGCGTTGCTATCCTAAAGACATGGCTTTCGTGTTGAGATTAATGACCGTTCTTTTGGTATGAATATGCTTGTAAAACTACCTTCATTGATAATCTTTCTTTTCGTGTGATAAAATATCCTAAGACAAAATTTTCTTATACAACTGCCGCAAAATCTGCTGTGAAGTTCAAACGGAGGGCTTACTACACCGAAAGTAGACGTTATCTTCTTTTCGTTATTAGAGTGTACTATGAAAGTTTTTTTCTAAAAACAAATTCATATTATAATCAGCATCTTCCATGCTGTCGACTGACCACAAAAACTTAAACAAAATAAAATAATGTTCACTAACACCGCAAGAAACAGTCAAATAAATGAATTTCGATTGATTATTGATATTCAATATCTGTCAGCATAAGTGGGTTCAATGTCGTTAGGGGCTATCCCACCAGACCGTCAACGGTTTGCTGTTGACAGATAACGCGTTGTAGCGTGGAAAGAGTGCTGTACATAACGAGCGTCGGTGGTGCAACGGTTCAGCACATGCTTTAGGAAAGAAAGATCTGAGTTTCAATCCCGGCTGACGCAAACGCTTTTACACAGCACTCTGCATTACCGGATTTAACATACCGCCCCAAGAGGCAGTCAAATAAATGAATTTCGATGTTATTGTGTTTATTGACAGTTGGAAACGAGTTTGTTTTCGCAAGGATCTGTCTTTCTCAAAGAAACAGAAAAGTTTTTAGACATGGTTTCGACTCAAATGCCTTTTTAAGGTTTTCTTGATGATATTCTATCCTTTCAAAGTCAACAAAGTTCTTCTAACATATGGACTATAATCGTAACTATCATTAAACACGTTGTGTAAATCAAGTGATGGGCTAAGTAGTTTGGGCACGAAACACATTCTTCTTTCCGTTCTCATAGCGTTCTGTGCAAACCCCTTCAAAAACCAAATTTGGCACAAATAGTCAAGATTTGAGTTATCGACTGACTATTTACATTTCAACGAAAAACCATCCACAGACCCCAGTCGAACGGACAAAGCAAACGCAACAGGAAACATAATTTTATTTTCACCGATCTAACTCATTAATAAAGGCTTTATAGCAAAAAAGCACAAATCGCCGAGATTTTATATTTTCAAGCACTTACTTAGTAAGCAGCAAAAATATTTGTCTGACGAAAGAGCCTCTAATCATTTGTGTATCAATACAGGTACACGCCGTCTTGGACGGATTAATATTATTAAGGTTCCAGAGGGATTCATTATACTATGACCAAAAATCGAGTTTTCAACGCAAGAGTTCACCGGAACATTCAGAGCGTATACAAAAGATTCAACATTTTCTTTGCCCAAAAGAAGTAATATCAATAAAGTTCATGAAGAGGGTTAAAAAAATTCGACCAAGAGCAAGCACAGCACTGACCCCTTATTTGGTTGCGGAGATTTTTTCCGGTCTTTTCCGTTTTCGTTGGTTATTTTTCATGCATCAAGCATTTGTTTCTACTCTATATTCGAGTAACTTCTTGCAGTTATTTTGATATATTACACTTACACATTTGTCTCAAGATGGTTCTTACCTGAGAGCAAAACCGATTGTTGATGCTACACGAGTGTCGTTGACTGGCAAAGCAGCACTTCATCTTAAACGATACTCATGTAGCATTAACAATCGTTTGCTCTCGGGAGAATATTATCTTGAGGCAAATGTATAAATGTTATATATCAAATTAATTGCGAAAAGGCACTCTAACCTAAAGTAAAAACAAAAACTCAAGTGCATGAAAAATAACCAACGGAGACAAAAATGCCGGAGAAGTTCTTCCCAACCCAATAATTCAATTTACAACGGGATAATATTTGATTTACGATGTCTTAAATCAACATTAGGTATCGTTCGTAATTACACAAAACCTCACACTGCCACCCTTTCCCTCTGTCTTGTGTGAAGACAGGCGGCTATGGGTGAGTTGCCTCTTCAGTAACTAGAAAAAGTGTGAAAAAACAAATCTCGGAATTGAAAAGACGAAAGACTAATAACTTCTAGTAACACCTCAAATAGGAAGTTGTCGAAAACTCACATTATTTATTTACAGTGGTTAATATGAAGTGAGGGGTTAAGAGGATGGCCTGCCATTAGATCGGCTGCCAGCCTCGGCCGCAGCGTTAAATAGAGTGATTACGACGCCGATAGGCGTGACTTATCACCGGCTTGGCCCCCGCATATGGGCATATCTGGCATAATGCCAAAATGACTTATCTCGTCCACACTGTAGCACGTGATAACCGCATTGCGAATCTCCGATTAAACCAACCACATCGCTGCTGCGCTGTAGTTTTTTTTTCTTAGCTAAGAGAATTTGACGCTCTAGAACCTGACATTTCCTATTGAAGAGATTGTGCTCTAATTCTTTTTCTTCTTCGATGTAAATGCTGTATACTATATACAGACTGTAGATATGTAGACAGACTGTAAGTTGTGAAGGCATCGTGACCGAGTGGTTGTGAAGCTTGTCGCGGCACGTGTGGAGGCGAGCTCCACTTCTTTGCTCTTTCCGGCAGTCAACAACAACGTCCTATGGAACGCCATAGCGAGCCTATCCTTGAGATTGCAAGGTGGTTCGCTCAACTAGTATTCTAAGCCGTTGGAGAAGAAGACGTACTCAAATTGGGTGCTTGAAGTACTGGGGTTCCGTACAGTGAAAAAGAATACTGTGATGACGGGTCAAATAAAGTGCTGAAGTGCTATTGACTGTCAGAAATCAGCTATATTTCTTGCAACATCAGAATTTTCACAAATGAAATATCAATAGACTGCTGATTGAAACTCAACTTTTTATTTCTCATATAATGGGCCACGTAAATTATCCATAGCTCCCATTGCTTACGATATACTATTCCCAATGATTAGTGATCCTCTTTTCATTGTGTAATCGCCTGACAGATAGTGACATCCAGTAAACCATTACTACTTTGCTACATTGCTGTTCTTCTTTCCTCTTGTGTCTAGCTGGTCTTCGCTCATTATGCGTGGTACATCGCTCATTTTAATCCAAATAATTCAGAGATGTAAATGTTTCCTTCACGGCTGGCTGCTTCTTTTCACATGCATATTTCTTATTCAACACTTTCACGATTATTAACTCAGAGCGATTGAGTGTCCATCACTGCTCATTCGATGATTTTATTACTTGACAGAACATGTATTAGGCCGTTGGCACCTCTTACCAGAAATTATCTCTCAGCGGGACTAAATGAACCGAAAGGCACCATGAAACTAAGGAGGCTAGAGGGCCGAGACACGTGTGTTGCAATGTATAATCATGACAAATTTGATGAAAGTCTAAGATGTGCTGTAAGATTGAATCATTATTGTTTTGTTTCCTGTATTCTCAGAAGATGATCTGCCGAAAACTTAGGTGATGGCAGACCCATCACTTTTCCAACTAAAGAGATAAAAGCCAGCCACTTTCTCGTAATGCCTACTCTAAGAGTCATTTTGTAATTATAGCATTTCGCTCTTAAGCCGTTATATTATGTCAGTGGACACTTTCACTCTAGCAGTGTCTTAAGGCTTCAAAGAGAGTGCATGAAGCCGAAATTTTGCTAGTTTTGAGCATTTCTCCTTTACAGGAAAATACCTCAAAACCGTGTAGAGACCTGACAAGGACAACTATAGAGGTAAATCTTAGTACCTTAACAAATTTTCAGCGCCAAAAGCAGTGCATAAAGCGAAATATCGCAAGTTATGAGCTTCATTACCGTATGGAGAGCACGTCAAAATCCTGTGAAGACCAGCTAATGCACTTTATTAGTGAATCTTGGTCTATGGGTAGATTTTCACTACTGTCAAGGGCATTGAAGATGGTCGCATTGTGGTTAATTGCGCTTTAGATTGATTGACGGCTTCATGACAGAAACATCATAGTTTAACAATTGTTTCTCATTGTTTACTGTTCATTATTGGTTGAACATGAATTGAAAAATTTATGTATCTGTAATAACCTAAATAATAAATCTCTTTTTTAATTGTATTGAAGCTTCACATATTCTTCCTTCGTGATCCATAGGATGATACAGTGCCTGCTGTGGCTACTTTGTGAAATTCCTTTGGCAACTTCTCGGTGAGCTGTTGAATAACTGGAGTCAGTTACTCGCTTCTGTAATCACGTACGAACGCCGCAATATTGCTTCATAGTAAATCCAAGTAAAACTAGATCCAGTGAAGAGACATATCTCAGTGCATTTTAGGTTTGAGCATCTCATATGCTCATAATCAGCTTTCTGAACATGCTGAACCACTATTGCTGTTCTAGTGTAGAGGAAGAACTAAAGAAAGGAGTTTTCCCTCTTTTTCGCATCCAGATTCAGCCCTTTGGAACAAGCGACTTTTTTGCATTTTTCAGTCTTAGCGGTTATTCGATAGCTTGAATCTCTGTCGGCGATGTACTTGATTTCTATAAGTAACTTTCTTCAGCTTTAGCAGAGAGAATAAAATCATGTTTCACACTCTTTCAAATTCCGCTGTAGACGGCTTTTCTTCTACACTTTTGATAACCCTTTGATATTAGAAACCGACAATTTGAAGAGTACGCTTGGTAGTTGGATAGAACTTCTTATTGTGTTGTTAGAATCAAAAACACTGGATTTTGCACTAACCTCTGGTTTCTTGTCAGCTAGGGCGTGTGTCGGTTTTCCGAATTGAATCGGCGAGATTGAAGCTGTAAAATGATTACGTAAAGTCTAAGGTGCAAGCTCTAGCTAGCAAAGAATGTTTGAGTCTAAAAAATAATTTGATTTACTGTTACGACGTGGTGAGCAAGCCTTTTCAAAATCAAATACACCATTGGATTTCTTGATATTTGAGCCACAGAATGGCTCAACCCTTTGCGAAAGGCTAGGGTCACTTTGACACACAACTGTACGCCCCATTTGGACGGCTATGAGAGTGCCCCAATGCGAATTTGTGCTAATCAAGTTTATGGAGAAAAACATCATTCTCAATAGGTGACGTGTATGACTGAAGAGACATGTGTATGAGTGATTTTGGTAAAAACAACACTAGTGAGTTAGAAAACCTAGCATTTTCAAGGAGGAAAACAACATTCTAGCAAAAAGTACTGTATTTTTGGCTAACATAGAACAATCTTTCTTATATAGTCAATATTTTTGTGGGATATTGATAGCATAAAAATTCTAATTTTTATGCTCACCCTGATGTAGAAGAAAATTTCTATAGTAAGTTCTATTATAAGAAAAAAGAACGTTTTGCAATCATACTTCATGTTTTCTGCTTCACAGCGTTTTTTCGTTTAACTTACTTCGATACTTAGGCGGTCCGCCTTCACAAATTGTGCGGACCCCAGCACATCTTCCATCCGTCTCGTCTTCTCGCGATTGTCGTCCATGGCGGTGGCTTCATTCGAGTATACAGCTGATGCAAATGTAGATAGGAATACAGCTGATTAATTTTTGTAGTGAATAAGTCCGCCCAGCCTGTACGTGGTCGTCCTCGGGGTCGAGTAATATCTCGTGGCGTCCACTTTACAGTTTATTTCGCCCATCTGCCATCTGATCTTCTTAC